ATTTTATGTACCAGGAAGTGTTAATTTTATTTACCAAGATCTGAACATGACGTCTTCCTATCTATTTACGATCACTTTAAAGTGTAATTAATCTTTTTGAAAAGCCGATTCGTGCTTAATGGCCTAGCCTTATTCCCATTTGTCGCGTAATTATAAATTATTCTTGATTTGGAAACATTTGAAATTAAAATTAAACTACTCATGAGAAAACTAATTTCCTCGAAATTAAACAAAACATGTGAAGCAACATTTTTCAACGTAACTTCTAAGATACACCTCCACGTTACGTATTAATTGTTTGTAAGTGTAGAAATCAGGTAAAGTGGAAAATATTGCCAACCCGAGATTTCTGTTTATGTTAGAAAGTTTCGAAGCAGTTCAAAGTTTTATTTCAAACATGAGCCGTTACAGTGCCAGTTGCCACATAAATGAGAATAGGATAGCCTGCGCAAGAAAACTCAATAGATCACTCGCGATCGTAAACCTGTAGGAATGGCATCCTTGACAATAAACAAGGCCCTTATTTTAAACGGGGTAAACACTAGTCTTATTCTAGGTCGCTGTGAAAGGTTTTAACTAATTCCTTAGGCTGCGTCGTGTTGGAAAAAGGGATAGGTATACCAAGGCGGATAATGCTGCCTCATTCAGAAGAGGCAATAAAAATAACGGCAAAAATGAAGATCGTAGAAATTTGGCAACTTCACAAAGCGCAAAACAAACGGCGTGACCAAAACCAAAATTGAACATTTGATGAAAACGATAGTATTACTGAAGGAACATTTTGGACAATAAACAAAATTAATGCATGCTAATTTTTTACTGATCCCCATTTCCCGTACATAGCTTTGAGTTTCTACAAAGGCTATCGTTTTAGGGAGTTTAAGCAATAGTAAAGTTCTCAAGACAAAACATTTGCTTCGAAACTCGACGTCTTCGATTCTGTTATTCACAAAGCCCGCATAGCAAACAGACAAAGAATATCGGGTATATAATTCATGTTAAGACACCATATAGTCGCCCTGCAGCTTTGCTTGCAGTTAACATTTATTTACTGCAATTTGCTTGCGGTTAGCATTCATTTTGTGGTTGGGCGACTATATGTTTTCCATTGTTGGCGGCCATGTTGACTTACCATGACATATATGCCGAATATCGGCACCAAGACAACATCAGAGAATTATGCACACCACTCAGGTTTTAACTCGGATGGGAAAAAATATTCAAAACTACACTTACAAACAATATGCAACGGAATGAATAACGAAACATTAAAATACAACGTTATCAAAACACTAGTCTACCTTATGAGCTAAAAACATGAAATTGAAGCTTCGCGTCGAGTTTCGAGGAAATACGTTTTCTGATACCATAATTGATTATGGCACGTGGGTTTAATTTGTCTGCTATGGGACGTTGCGTTGGTTGGGCAAATAAAATTGGGGTGAATAATCAGGGATCTAAGCAAATATTAACAGACAATAGAAAGATTGCAGTTCAGCATATTTCACCAGCCCATTTGGTTCACAGCAAATGAGGCGTATGTTTGTCGGAGAAAGTGAGGTAAGACCAGTTTGAGAAGTATATAGTTGGTGTTTCTTTGAACTAAAATAGAAAATTCATTTAAAATTGAAAAACAGACCGTATATCCTGTTTTTCTGCAAGGTTTCAGTTTTTCACTTGAGTCGAGAATTGGCCTACAGTACATTTTGAAACATTTAATTCACGGACATCCGAAGTAGGTACAAAGACGTCACTGATTTCAGCGTTACCGAGAAATACTGCATAGTCGGCCGCAGTTCATGCAGGTTAATTTTTTCAACTTTCATTCCTTGACAAACTTAGCATGTTACATGTAAAAAACTGTTGCCTTAAGTACAAGGTGTATGCTTTGCGCTAGAGAGCGCCCATTTGAAATGTCGCCCGTTACGACTTTCCCTCGCCCCCACTAACTGCCCCTGG